TTTCTTTTTTTTTTTTTTTTTTTTTTTTGATCAGCAACAAGAAAATAAGATTAAATAAAAAATAAACAAAGTACAAAGAAGTACTAGGAGAACAAGAAGTTTTCCAAGGAGCAAAATTGCAACTCTTTTTAGAGGTGAGAGTAAAATAGGGTGTCAACACCCTCAACATGATTCAATGGTTTTTCCTTCTCAAAAAGCCATTAAGTCATTACAATATTTGAATCTTAAAATATTAGTATAATATTGATCACAATTTATCTGTATGAAAAGGCAATCACAATAAGTATGAACTTCGCCTAAAACATCTTTGTGCATAAATGATGAGTCATGCTACCATAAGAACAATGACACGATTCCGTTATATGTACATATACATATAAGACCCAAAAAATGGGCAAAAGCTCATTGCACCTAAAGCCAACCAATACATCCGTACCAAGGGACACCCATAGCAATGATACAAAAAATCCTGGTGTTATTTCTGAAAATAACACAATCAAAGAATGCAAAAATACCAAAAATTATTAGATGGTTTTCAAACAATGCTCCATAGCAACTAAAAATAAGGACCTTATTGTCTACATTAATAACTATCAAACTGAAACAGCATATAAACTTGTTCCAGATCATTGCCCAAAAAATAAAATAAAATAAATAAGCACACGATCAGTAGATAAATAAAATCACACCACATAAGAAGTAAGAAACTACAGTGATTCGTGATTCAAAAACAAAAGATAGATTTGGTCGTAGTTATGGCAAACTAAATACATAAGCAGCAACAAGTAGGGGTCAGTGCGGGTATGTAACTTCTCATGAGTGAAGAAAAAACAAATTATATCACTCAAAAAAATTTATCCAACAAAAGTACAAATATTTATTATTATTAATATTATGATGATGATGTAGTACACAACAATTAATGGAAATATGTGAAATATATCAAAATAAGAATACAATCAAATCTTAAGGACCTTAACTATTTAGTGATGATACCATAGACTAGAAAATTACTCTTTCATATTTTCTTTCACTGAAGTCTTTTAACTGTTTTTGCACGAAATTTGAAAATACCACTGCCAATGAATCACTCTTTAATATTTTCCTTCATTGTAGTTGTTGGCCAATTTCTAAATGGACAATCTTTTGATTATATGTGTCAAATGTGGAATCATGAACTGTTTGATTACCGTCGAAAAAAATTTTAAATCTTGAATGATGATCAAATGAAAAATGCGATGGATGCATAGTTCTTGAAATTTATTTAGTGGTTTTCTTGTTTTGATATCTTGATAATATTATTGTTATTTGTGTGTTTGTTATCTCTAATTTAATTAAACAATGTTAGTTTTTTTATGGATTTATAATATATGCATATATATAGTATTCAATGTGTTACCAACATGTCTGTGTTCTAATTTTTAACAAATATCAAGTTTGCATGTCCATATTGTGCTATGTACATGTCCTACATCAGTATCTATGCATATTAGGGAGCAACCATACATGACCAATATCAAACTATCATGGGAAGATTATATGGTCTTGGGGCAAATCCATGTAGTGCCCCAATTAGTGTTTCATTGGTTGAAACAATGAGACCCACCGCTTTTTTCTTGGCTTTTAGGAGACAAAGGGACAAGTAGCGCAATGTGAATGGCGTGGAGTATTGCTCCAAGACCACCAAATAACTTCTCACTATCATGACATCAGCTAGTCTACTCATTCTGCAATAAAAGAAGCAATGAACCTGGACTCCGTTAAAGAATTTCTCTTGACATTTTTGGGTGAAGAATTCAAGAGATGTCTCAAGTCGAGGCTAAAATATGAAGAAATTGGCATTTCCGGTTCAATCTTGTCTTCACTGTATTCTTCCGTGTTCCCAATCCCAATTGTGTTTTCTATAGCCGAGTTAGATTCATTTCCATTGGCTATGACTTCTTTTTCTGAACAATCTGAGCCATTCCGACTAGTTCCCTTCTCTTCGGTCGAATGAGTATAGTTATAGTCCAATCGCATTTCCTCTAAAATGCATTTGTGCTCGGCGTGAAGAATAGAATCCAGGCACCTACAATTACAGAAACGTGTAAACTGTATTTGAATCAGGAATTTGAAGTGAAATAAGTAGATACATTTTCCGTTAGTCTTAAACAACAGCAAGGTTGAAGGAGATGAAATCACGAAACTTTCGAGAGTTTCCTACATTGTCATCACAGTCTTTCGATTTTGCATCGAGGATAAAACAAAACTATAGGGTTGGGGAGAGGTAGTAAGTAACCTTTCCCCCCACTTTTTTTTGTGGAGAAATTGATTCCCAGAACTTGAACATGAACCACAAAGCTGTGGGCGAATAGGACTGATCTCTCTATGGAAGAAAAAACTATCAATATAGAAATTTCTTGCATCAATATCCTCCTACCTAGTGAGGATATTGATGGGGCAAATTAATTATTACATCATTAAAGAAAATATAAGGTTTAATGAACAAAATTTTTATAACCTCGCTTGAAATCCAACCCCACATATATATATATATATATATTCTCGAATTTGGTTGGGTTAGGTAGTGTAGTGTTTGGTTCACCGGAATGAGGTAGAATGGAATAATCATTAATTCTATCAAAATTTTCATTTTTATGTTTGGTTAGTTTAAAAAGATAACGACAAATGAATTAAAAATAAAATAATGATTTGATAGGAAGCAAATAGAGCATTAGGGTTTTATGTTATGGGTGGAAACTTACGAAGAGAGGAGAAGAAAATGATCAATCTCTTGTTGGGAGTCAAACATGAGTAGAATGGAATCCAAAAGCTGAGACTTAGAGATGGGAATGTATCGCTGTCTGGGGACTTGAATTCCAGTTATGCCCGCCTCGTTGTTACTTTCTTCTCCATTGACTCCTCCTCCTCCTCCTCCTGCATCACCACCACCAACAACTTGTTTGGACTCAGGGTCAGGCTTCTTCTTGAGGTCATGGTTTTGGGTGGTGGTTGTGTCATTGTTTGTATTCAATTGGGAGTGAAGTAGTTCCTGATGATACTCAACAGCTGTATCCTCAATTCTCAGACAGCAATGAAGACGAAGAGGAGAAGCAACTTTGAGAATGGAAGCAGCATTTTTTATGCTGCAGCGCCGCCGACATACAGAGTAATTGGATGATGATGATCGAGCTGTAACGCTGCTGCTGGAACTCTTCCAAGAAATCAACATGGAGTGAGATGAGATGAGAGCGAGAAATGAGGATGACGAGCAGAGCAGAGCAGAGCAGAGCAGGCTACACAAAATACTAATTTGATAATAATCCATCACGACAATATCCTCCTCCTGCTTCCACTAATTTTTAACTACAAACACGACAAAATTGAAATTGCTTTCAAGTAAGGGCCCAGTGTTGTTTAGGCCGTTCGAAATTAAAATTATCAAAAATGATTTAGACTTCTTTTTTTTTAAATGGAGCATTAATTTATCTTTTTTTTATGGGCAAATTACATATACACCCCTCCAGATTTGGTTAAATTACAGATATCCCTGAGGTTTCGGAAATTACATCCCGCCCCCTGAGGTTTGTATTTTCATAACAATTTACCCCCTGAGGTTTATATTTCATAACAAATTGAAATCCCTTCCCCCTCTGCATCTTGTTTATAATATTTCTTTTTCTTGTTGGTTGCTTGAAGATCAATGGATCCAGAAATAGATTTTCGGACTTATCTATCATCATTGCTGGATACATCTGATACATCTCATGATGTTGATAAGAAAAATGATTTAGACCTCTAAAAAGAGAGTCCTAATGGAGCACTAATTTATCTTCTTCCTCCTCATTTTTTGTCTTTTACTTCACTCTTTTTTCTTTTCTTTTTTTTATAGGTGGACAACTCATTAGAGCTGCACTGTAGCAGCTCTAATTAAAGCTCTACAGCACTTCCAATATTGAAAAATGATTTAGACCTCTAAAAAGAGAGCTCTAATGGAGCACTAATTTGTCTTCTTCCTTCCCATTTTTTGTCTTTTACTTCACTATTTTTTTTTTTTTTTATATAGATGGACAGCTCATTAGAGCTGCACTGTAGCAGCTCTAATTAGAGCTCTACAGTACTTCCATAATTGGTATATGTGTTTGTTCTAGTAATTCGAGAAAGAAGACTCAAGTGAGTGGTAAATGAGAAATTATTTAATACTCTAAGATCAAATCCAGGTGGTGCTTTAAAGTCGTAATTATTGGCTTAAATTGTGAGAGTTATTACTTTTGTGTTAGAGTTTTACAAGACAACTGATTTAAGTATCAACCTGTAAATGAAATAGAGTAATGCTGTTAGAGCATTGAATAATTTCTTGAGGTAAATGGGTTAAAAAGATAAAATAAAGAGAAATGTAAAAAAGAATATTTCTGCCACATTAGGAAAAGTATATTATTTAATACAATACATTTATAATTTTCGTTTCAATATATGATAGTGGGGTTAATTATTCATATTTAATGCATTTTTAATAAGTATTTTGGCATTTGTTAACAAAATCCATATATATGGGTTTGGTTATCTTTTAATTCAATTTAGATAATATCTAAATCAACAAACAATCCAATCTTATGAGTAGGGCAAAATTTGTGTTGATCTGATTAAATGTTATCTAAATTTGAATTCGAACCAATTGATCATATCTAAACCCGATTCCATTTTTTATGGATGTCCCATCCATAAATTCGATCCATTTTTGCTCACAACATTGTCTGTATAATTAAAGAAAATATCATTTTGTTCTTGCAAATTATCACTTGAAAATCAATTCAATTACTATTATTTTAATAGTATTAATTTTATACTTAAACTAATTGATTTTGTATATATTTTACCCATAAAAAATATGAAATAGACCCCTAATAAAATAAAATTTGGAAGTCTAATTAATATTTTAAAGATAATTTAAATGATAAAATGAAATTTCACATTAACAATTTTTATTTGCTTATAAACCGTAATTAAAGGTGAAGTAAAATCAATCCAATCCAAAATCAAATACTATAGAATTGATATTATTAGAAAAAAATAATTAAATTATTATTATTTTTTAGATAGTAATTAAATTAATTTTTGAATCAGAGCAAAATCATATTTTTCTTTTCTTCCTACAATTGTGGGAAAATACCTGGAAAGTATATTGCTAGACTTTCTAGCCTAGGGTTAGGGTTTGAGTATTTTCAGAGGGAACACCACCACGGTGTCGCTTCCGTCGCCGAAGTTGAAGATCTCATCGTCTGCAACTCTGCCTTCGTTAGGATCGATCTTCTTCTATCTGATTCTGGCAGCAGCGGCTGGCGTTCTCAATTTTCGGTTCTAGATGAGTTTTAAATCGGTGAAATTTTAGACCTAAAATTCGTACAATATTTTTTAAAAGATTTATACTTCATTTTGTATATATAGTTTGATATTATTTAGAGCTGCAAAATCAATATATAGTGTCAATTGGTTTATGAAGACTGAATCATGTATTAAAACTGTAAAATCTTCTTCATTTTGTATATAGTTCAATATGTATTTTTATTCGAACCGTTTATTAAGACTAAATCGGTTTATGATTTAATTTTTTTTTTTTTGCTCAAATATAGTTTACATGCATTTTGTTTCCTCATTCTGCTCCATAAGGTTCGCAGTAATTGAGTTTCTTTCTTCAATAATCTAAGGGTCCGGAACTCAAATCCTCAACTATATCTAGAAACTCTGAACTTAGATTTTGAAATATATCCAAAAAAAGAAGGGTAATCTAGAATTGAGTTGTACAATTAATTGATGTGCACCTCCATGGAAAGGAAATTAAAAATTATATTCGAATTGTTTGAGGTTGAGACTGGAGTTTCTATTGTCGTTTGAAGGCTTGTATTATGGAAGTTATGTTGTGATGCAACACAAAAACTGAATTATTTCATATAACTATTGTTCTAATTGTTTTGTTTGATATCATTTTTTGAAGATCAATCTATTTTGATATTGTTTTATTTCTATGTCAAAGCAGATCTTGTTTCAAAACAAAGCTTGTTTTGGGAAGAGAAATTGATGATATTTTAGACAAAAATATAGAAAAAATGATATATGTAAAAATTTGCTGAAAGTCATCATATCTCATACAATTTGGACATGAAAACCTGTGAATCGGTAGCTGTGTTTCGGAACATTGATGAGTCAAGAAACTAGATCATAAAACATGCCAAACTGGTGTTGATGCTGGTAGTGAACTGTCAATTAGCAGAAGAAGACAGTATAATTTAAGCCTGATATATAGGAGTTGAAATGAGAAATTTCTATTTGGTCTGCTAGAAAATCTAGTTAATGAACTGATCTTTGTTTTATTTATTATATAAAATGTATTCAATACCATCAATATTTGAAAAGATTTTTTTGGAACCAAAAAGATGTACTTTAGCGTTAGCATTTTTAAATGGAAACTGATATACAAATATAAAATCGGAAGTGCTGTAGAGGTCTAATTAGAGCTGCTACAATGCAGCTCTAATGAGCTGTCCACCTATAAAAATAAAAAAAAAATAAAAAACACAGTGAAGTAAAAGACAAAAAATAGGGAGGAAGAAGACAAATTAGTGCTCCATTAGAGCTCTCTTTTTAGAGGTCTAAATTATTTTTCAATATCGGAAGTGTTGTAGAGCTCTAATTAGAGCTGCTACAGTGCAGCTCTAATGAGCTGTCCACCTATAAAAAAAAAAACAAAAAAAAAAACACAGTGAAGTAAAAGACAAAAAATGGGGAGGAAGAAGACAAATTAGTACTCTATTAGAGCTCTCTTTTTAGAGGTCTAAATCATTTTCAATATTAGAAGTGATGTAGAGCTCTAATTAGAGCTACTACAGTGCAGCTCTAATGAGCTGTCCACCTAAAAAAAAAACAGTGAAGTAAAAGACAAAAAATGGAGAGGAAGAAGACAAATTAGTGCTCCATTAGAGCTCTCTTTTTAGAGGTCTAAATCATTTTTCTACCAATTAATGGTGCAATAGATAGCCAAATATTATTTATAATTTTTAAATATTTTATTTTCATCTAAAATTAATACTTTTTATACATTGTCCCCCCAAAATGATTTAGCCCAAAGTCCATGGATGTGGTAAAATTTAAGAACGTAACAATCTATGAATTTTAACATTTTGAACTATAATCTATAATAGTTATGTTATGAAAAGTTTGATAAAAAAAAAAAATAACAAACATTTTATTTTTAGGCGTCGATCCTTTGATGGGTTGTTTTTTTTATGTTTAAAGTTAGTATCTTTATCCATTTATTTTTAAAACAATGTATGCTCTGCAATCTACTGTTGAATTTGGAGCCCCTTCTGTGTGATTTTGAGTTCAAGCTGATCTTTTCTGTTTGGGCACTGTGATTTCAATTTTCCCTCTTGTTTTAAACCTGTATTTTAACATTGAATTTTTTTATCCCCTTTTTAAGAAGCAAAATGAAAATTTCCTCTTTTTTTTGTAATATGAAATATTATGAATCATTTTCATGAGAAATATAAATAAAATATTTTTTGATGAAAATAAAATATTTAAAAATTATAAATGATATTTGAATGTCAAAATAGTTCACCTTTAAATTTGAGATATTATATAGGGAATAGTTTGAGATATTATCTCATAGTGTCTCGCAAATCCTAATCCTATATTTTAGTAGATAATTATTGATGATAATTCCATTTAAATTAATACGGAGCTATAATCTTGAGATTTGATCCGGTGATTATGGCACATCATCCATCCCTCACATTTGTAGTTTCACTATCTATGATCCAATGACCAGAAAAAGGGGCAGCAACTATTCCTCATGCAAATTAACAAATTCAGCACATCATGAAAATATTTGGGTTTCAAGTTTTGTTCATGGGACACATGACCCATAAAGCCAACCTAGCATGCCACTAACCAGAGTAGTTAAGAGATCTCAGTAAGTCATTTCTGACTTTTAGTAGGCATCTATTAGCTATAAATAGTCATGTGCAACTCGAAGAAAGGGCATCCAAATCAAATCAACACAACACAACTCTCAATTGATATTAGTGTCATTTAGCATTAGCTTATTATCTCAAAGACATTTGTGCCATAATTTAACTTCCTTCCTATTATCAATATCTGTGTCATTTAGATTAATTAGTTTTCCTACGTGTAACACCCTTATTTTTACCTTAATTGTATTTAAATCAGTTGGAATATATTTATTTTTCATTCATACTAGTTTTTGTCACTTTATGTACTTTTAATCATTGAATTACTTACAAATCCGTGTTGATGTGTTTTCCTCCTACCTCTATTTCTTCCTCACTAAAAACTCGTAATCCTTTTTCACTTAGACAAATAAAGAACTAGGAGGCTTCTATCCCCTTACAATTCAAACAATACTATCCTGCTTAGAAGTAAGAAAATCATTTTACATAAGTAACACTTTACCTTAACAAGCCCACATCCCAAACCTCCTTGTCAAATTTTGTGCAAACACAAGGTGGTGCTCCTTATTCTGGCTGGCTATGAGATTTGACTTCTCAGCCAATCCTATTTTGGTCCATAACCAACCGGTAGAATTATGTAAATCGTTTCCACATTTTGATATGCAAGAAGAGATCAGTGGCTCCTTGAAAAAGGGCACTTGAAAAGGCTAATATTATGTACACGAGTGTGTACTTCTGTTGGACCCCAAAAGAAAGAAAAAAGATAGAAAAAATAAATAAATAAATAAAGAAAAATAAAATAGAGGAATATTAGTAATACAGGCATATGTTTATCATAATGCTGTCAAGTAGTAGTGACAAGAAAGCATAAGCATTTGTTCAATCTACAAAACATGTAGGTTCCATTTAAACAACATAAATGCTATTTTTTCTTCTGGGATAATAATCAACCAGGCCTAACATAGCTCAATAATTATATAAATTTAGGCTAATAATTATATAAATTTAGGCTTGCTTCTTCTCCAATGAATTCCTGCTAGTGGTATTTACAGTCCTGCCATATGAGAGAAATGTTGGCATGAAATAAATTAATTGAAAAGTATTCCGCTTGTACATAATGTATAAAGGTTAGCTTAGGTCTATCATTTCGCAATTGGAGTCTAAATAATTTGTACATGATTGGTTAAACTTTGAGAAATTTATTCATCTCCAGAAAGAAAAAGGAAAGTTTTTTCATATTTTTGTTAAAAATGTTACAGGTAAATTACAAATACACCCCTAAAGTCTGATTAAACTACGAATCACCCCATGTGATTCTAAAAATTACATTCCACTCTCTGAAATTTCTAATTTCATAACAAATCGCCCCTTTTATTAATAAATCATCAAGTAAATTAACAAATTTTAATGATGTTAGAAATATATTTCAATTAATAATTTAGGTAATTTTATTATTGTATAGGAAAGCAATTATGAATTTTATTTTTTTTTAGTTAATTCTGTTAAATAAAAAATTCTAACAAATGATTATTTGTAATTTTTCAAACCACAAGGGACAATCTGTACTTTAAGCAAATCTCAAGAAATGTATTTGTAATTTACACAAATGTTAATTTTGTTTTTTCCCTTAACTTTGTAAAATTATATTTACTGCTCATTGGAGAAGAGCTTGAGAAATAATATGACCTTACAAATGCATGGGGGAACATCCTGGAGAAAATTGAGCCTTTTGCTTTCATAAGCAGTACATAAATTCCATAACAGGGGAGGTGAACCAAAGCCAAGGCAATATACCTGTAAGAAGAAGACCTCCACTGGGTTAATCTCTTGGTTCAGCATGTCATTATGATGATACATAACATATATATATATATATATATGTACATGCATAGACATATATTATATAATATATTTGGCATGATAACGACATATGAAGCAAGCACATTACCAGAGAGGCGCCCATGGAGTTGAAAGATCAAGGAAGGGATATGGCCACCTATGAGAGAATAGAGTTGTGAAATTTATTAACTAGAAAATGTGCTATTAGGAGGGATGTGGTAATAGAGATGTGTTATTATTACCATGTGAAACCACATGCATGAAGAATCCATTGGAAGACAACATACGAAACACTCCATAGCACAAAATATGCAAGTCCATACCAAGAAAATGGCTGAAACATTAGTTGGAGTATAGTTCAATAAACTTCATGAAGCAAAGGAAAGTAATGGAACCCAATAATATCCATTAGCTAGAATGGTGAAGTCTCTTTTGGCCATTGAAGGTATGCTGTTATAATACTTACCTGGCTATTGAGTGCAGAATCAAGAATGAGAAAAACAGCGTTCACACTGTGTATGCATCCAATCAACTGTCAATCATCATCAGCATGAGATCAATAATTAACATGTGGAAGAGCCACTCATCTAGCAATTCTAAATGCAAAAGGATCTCAACAAAGAAATGAACAATCTTGAAGATGGTTTCCAAATTTATCTGTTTGTGTCCCTTCGAGGACATCCCATAAAATTAAAATTTATCTGGTTGTGTGTGTGCCTAATTTGTGTCATCTGTTTGCAGTAGGGAAGTTGAGTTAGGTAAAAGGAATCTTCTCCTGATCTTGATCTTTTTCAAAGTGGCAGAGGATGAATCATGTTCCCACACGGCACAAAACGATAGGTCCAATACTTACTGAGCAGTGAGCAGTGCTTGTGAAACCATCTTCCCCTTATATACACTACTATGTTTTTTGGCAGTTAATTTTTGTCATCATATCTAGCAAAAAATGTAACCGATATTGACATTAAACACTGCACTAGGATTTTTTGTATAACAATGACATTGTACCAATACTCCAAGCAGGACGGCCAAAAATTAACAGCTCATATGTGATATCAGTAGCATGGGCTAATAAAGGAACATAAGAGTAGAAGAAAGCGCACTTCGGTGCTAAAAAATATAAACTGTTTCCGAAAGAGGACGACTTACCAGCGTGAGCTGAAATTTATCACCTAAAAGAAATGGGACTAAAAGACACCAAAATACAATGTCCGTTAGCATAACAGCACCTGCACAAGTCTGTTGACAAGTAAGAATTAGTTTCTACAAGGGCAAATCTCAACACCACAATTGTAGTTCTTGAGGCTTATGTTTTCCTGATGTCAGGCGTGGAAATAAATTTTGTTCAAGACTCAGTGCAGCACCATAGAATGAGCGCATTATTTACAAATACATTACTATAGGACTCCAGTGAAAACAATTATTATTTTTTTTCTTCTTCACAACGGAATGTAAGACCATTTTATCATTTGTAAAATTGGAGAACTCACCTTGAAAAAATCTAAATAAGAAAGAGAACATGCATTTTAAGAAATTATTAGTTCACAACATTGATACTAATAATTATAGAACGACTAATTTAAGGCATGGACAGTGGATTTGCAAAGAATAAGATTATATATGGAGCCATTAAGTTTCCTATTTTCTTCTTATTCTGCATATAGTTGGACACTAGGAAATGAAAAGCATTAAAACACAAACTGTGAAATTAACCTGATAAATAGCTTGCACAAGATGCTCTAAGAAACCTGTTTTACACTCAATTTCCTCTTGGCTATGACGGCTTTGAAACTTGATGGTACCTTTGGTTTCCTTTGCTTCAGAATTCTTTTTCAGAAACTCATCACTCTCTCTATCTTCAGGTAAAGATTTCTTTTTCTTGGAGTACATCCAGCATCCACGAGCAGATATAACGATCGCAAGCTACATGTAAGACAAGAATCAGAAGCAATAGCTAGCTGACCAGCAGGCTAGTGGGGCAAGGAACTTACACTGCTCTGAACCTTTCCAATAATAGCATTCTAAGCCATTCATGAAACAAATAAAGAACATTTTCATTACTTCAACTGGTACCGTTTGATTGGTAGCATTATATTTAGGATTCCAAGAGATACTGGGTCTGGTTTTCGATTGTTCCTGATCCATGTAATGAGAGTACTGTACATTTCCCGATTCATGTGTTGATCCATATGTTGGCCTGGGGAGGGGGAGTCTCGCGCCAAGCAAGACTCAAACCCTTGATGTTCTAGTGACATGCAAAGATTATAGCCAATTGAGCTAGTCCCAATTTGTTGCATTTGGAGCCATTTACAAAGCTATTCTATCATAGACCAAATTTAGGATACCATCTCACGTGTCAATAATATATATCAATATAACTGTACAAGACATGAAAGATGGATCCATTAAACGAATGCATTAGTGACACATTAAATGGTATCTAAATTTTGATACATTGTCTTTGTCTCTCCTGAGGAGAAGCAAGGCTGGCTTGGCCTAAGCCCTGAAGCAGTGGCTTTAGGCCCCAATTTGCAAGATGCCACCAAGCTTTCTTTGAGCCAAAAACCCAGTAATATTATTTCTAAAAATAAAGCCGACTCATAAAAAAACTCCGTTTTAATAGGCCCAAACAAAAAATACTTTATTGCCCAAGGCCTACAAAAATATCTTATGTAAAGACCCAGAAAACAAAAAAAATACTCTTCATGGCATTAAAAAAAATTCCTCTCGGTTTAAAGACTCTTAACCACAAACGCTGAAAAAAAAAAAAAAAAAAAAAAAAAAAAAACCTCTTCTGATCCAAAGGACAAAAACAAAATTCATGAAAAGCCTCTAGTTGAGGTTTCGACTTAGGCCTGTTGAGCTGCCCCCGTGAGAGAAGTATCCAATTACATATGTATGTGTGTGTGTGTGTGTATTTATGGATATATGATATATCCCAGTAAGATCCACAAATGATATATCCTACTGAAAGTTTACTCTCTGTAAAGGGGAAAAAGTAGGGATATAGGTTTGGACATACTGCAAAGTAGACCGTGACCAATACGAAAGTCCACCTGCAGATCAACCACAACACAAGAATGGGAGATTAGATTTCAAGAGTACTTAGGGCATGATTGATTAATAAGATTAGAGCATAGGATTAGGATTATTAATCCGTGGGCCCAATAATCCTGTGTTTTGTTTTGAAATTTTGTTTCAGGATTATTAATTCAATGGATAATTAATCCAACAAATTTGTAAGATTACTAGTAATGGGGTAGGGTAGGATTATATATCCTAAGTTGGGAAATAAAATAAAAAGACTCTTTTACTTACCAATCCAATGCAAATCAAACAATGGATAAGGGGATAATTTATCTTACTAATCTAATTAGATAGTGAATACCATACTAATTTGATGGGATTATTAATACTTTCACTATTAATCTTGTGAATCAACATGGCCTTAAAGTCAACATCAAGAGTACTTAAGACAAGAAATGGAAAAGAATAGAAACAACTGCAAAAGAAAAAGATTTAGAAGTGGCAATTTGAAATCAAAGATGAGATTACTAGTGAACAGACTTTCTTGGATCTGGATCCTCTCCATTTTATGGATGGAATGCATATCTCCATTTTCATTATCAGTGGCTGTGAAAAGATTCAAATAAACTAATATTTATTTCGATTCAAAAACGGTGAATGGATGTTTGAAAATATAATGGCGTGGCAGTTATAAACCATTGATTTTGAATTTTCATGATATGTTGCAATCTTATGAAATAATATGGAGATCCTGATTCTACCTATGAAATGGAGAGGATCAAAATCCCTCTAGGCAGCACAGGAATTCTTCCACCAGTTCCAGTTCCTCACAAACAATAAAGGAGACCAGTATATGCTGCTATTAGTACTACCTTTCATGAAACACATTAAAACTCAAAAAAGGTACTTCAACTTGTAATATGGGTTCGTTTTATTTGATATATATATATATATATATATATATCTCCACAAAATTAAGAAAAATTTGTGTGCTGTGTTGTTGAAATTTGAAAACACCTCTATCTTGCTCCTTTCCTTGGGTGCACAACTTCACTTAAATGATGTGAATCAACATTGTCTATTAATATTTTTAATTCACCAAAGAAATAAATAAGTTAATAAAACCATACAAATGCCCAAAATGGGAACCCAATTGACCAGAGCTTGTCCATAAAAAGCGAACAGAACAGAACAGAGTGCTTGGTAGCTACAATTCCTCACACACCAAATCTAAATCTAAATATAAATCTAAATCTAAATCGTGTCGTTGAAGTTAGAACTTACTGAGTGTAGAAATAGAAAGCAAAGGCGCCTCCGAGTACAAGGACGATGTGATAGAGTAAGAAAGCCATAGAAGCGAAGGCGAAAACTCTGAAGAAGAGAAGCCAAAGCGGGTTGAGGTTTCTCCAGCAAGGAAGCCACAGATCAGTTGACTTGAGAGGCTGGCTCTGGACTCTCTTCAGGAGTCTGACTGCAACCACTGTTGGAAGGATGAAGATGAGAGCGCACACTGGGACCTGCCATCGAACCCAATACTCTAACCCCACTTCCTCCCCACCACCACCACCCTTATTAAAATCCATTTCTTCTTCTTCTACTTCTTCTTATTCTTCTTCTCCTGCTCCTCCTCCTCCTCCTCCTCCTGTATTATTAGTATAGTATTCCCCACCCACCAAGCCCACAATAATCACTCACAGAAGAAGAGGATCTAACAACCACATAGATATTATTTCCTTTGAAAAATCTTTGAGACCTTCTTATGAACATCCCAATTCCAACCCCTGTCCATATTTTATTGGGTGAATTACATGGACACCCTTCAGGTCTGTACCTGACATTTTATTGGGTAAATTACATGGACAGCTCGAGGTTTGTATCCGATATTTTGAAAATTACATTCTCTTTTAATTAATATAAAAAATTAACTTTTAAAATATCTATTTTACTTTTATTTACATATATAAAATTGACAGAGGATTTATTATTTAAAAAAACTTTATATGCCTCACGCATGGTCTTTGGTTATTGTTAATTGTAACTATTAATTATAATATTATTTTGATTATGATTTAAAAAAAAAAATTGATAAATCATTATTCAAAAAGTATTTAGTTATGCCTTATGCGATATTTAATTATATTTATTTTTTTAGTTATGACTGAAAAGAATTTAATTATAATATTTGTGATAATTAACATTATAAAAGTTTGTATTCCATAGCATTACCTAAATGTTTAATAGTATATACCATCTAGTATTTTTTTCTTTAAATATTTTTTTAATAAGAGTAAAATAGGCATTTTAAAAAATCAATTTATTATATTAATTTTTTCCGTCAGTTGATTTAACGGTTAACTAACGGTAGGATTAAATTGTAATGAAAGTTTAAACCTTGAAAAAAGGAATGTAATTTCTAAAATACGAACGAATTGCTTGTATTAAAGACAAGCCTCAAGAAGTGTCAGTCTAATTTACCCTATTTTATTTGTATCACATTCAATTCAATTATACACAGGGTTTAACTTCTTGTTACATGTTAATTTTTAATATGTGAATTTTAAATTATAATAAGATTCGACTACTTTATCATACTATTTTGATAAAAATAATTTTAACTCTTATACAAATTAAAATATGAAAGAAAATTAATATAAATATGTGAAAAATATAAGATTAATTATATTTTTTTAAGTGTAAAAAGATGTAAGTGTAAATATTTTATTTTTGATGAATATATTTTATTCTATGATTGTCCCATTATCAACCGAGTCAATATACTATCTTATTGGTCACACGTAAAATCCTTGACCCAAGTTTGTTTGGTGTTGTTTTTAAAAAGAATTATTCTCATTAATTACTCTTCATTTAGAGTTATTGATTTAGAATAATATTATATGTATTAATTGGTATATTAATTAATATATTAATAAATAATATGATATAATTTTAAAAATTTTGAATTTTTATAATTTAGAATCTTAGAGACTTTAAGTCTTTGCAATTTGTATGTAGCACCACCGATTGATTTAGGGAGTTGGTTTGGGCCTCTAATCGAGACAAATTGGGCTGGGGATGTGGTCCATAAAATCATAAAACTAAAATAACTTTAAGAAAACCTTGGGCTAGGGAAATAGTAGTCCATAGCAGCAAGGAACGTGAACCACGCGATGAACAACACCATCTTTAGTTTTTCATAAATTTTCTGGCTTCTCACTATTAGTAGCAAAATTTTAATTGCCTAAACATGACTTAGAAATTATGAGTTAGTTTCTTTACCAAATGTGGTAGGATAGTTCTAGTTTATTCACTCTCCTATTTTCTTTATGCTGATTGTTTCAAAAATAAGGCAATTTAGGCCATTTGAACAGTGAACAATGACCTAAATAGTTTGTTTTCTTTTTGGTCTGGAATGGAAAGCTATGAACAATAATATAAAAAAAAATATTATACAAATTAAAAATATATATCTATATAATAAGGCAAGAGGCTTTTTGAAAATGTCTTAAAATGTATGAGAGATACATTTTGAATCAAGGGTTTAGATCCATTCTAATAAATATCAATGGTTGAGATGTGTTTGATTCCCGCCCAAACGCTCATCTCTCTCTCACTCCGACGTCCGCCCAAACAGACGCTTCTCTTTACACATTCTCTCTCTACACATCTGGCCCTCTCTATACGTTATCTCTCTACACGTTCGCTCATCGCCGCCATTGAAAGGGAAGATCGAACTTGGCTCATCGACACCTACCCTCCTCACACTCGCACCCGCTCCCTGCAAATGATCTCTTTGAGCCCCACAATTCATTCTCCCAATCCCAATCAGACGGCTGAAGATGATGATCAACCCATTTCCCGGCAAATCCAACGGCTGTCCTTGCACCTAAACCCACCGCCGATTCATCCTGACTGTCAAGTGACCGACGCCCTCGAGCTACAATCATGCGCGAGCAGGACGAAGCTGAGCGTGAGCACCCAACAGCTGTCGGACTACATGAGAGGGAAGCACAGGGACATACAAGAGAGGGTTTTTAAGTACTTCAATTCTAGGCCCGATCTTCAGACTCCTGTTGAGATCTCCAAGGACGATCATCGAGAGCTGTGTATGAGGTAGCTTTTGGGTTTGGTCAAAGAAGCTGGGATTAGGCCTTTTCGGTACGTTGCTGATGACCCTTCCAAGTATTTCGCCATTGCTGAGGCTGTTGGCAGTGTTGACATGTCGCTCGGTATCAAGATAGGGGTTCAGTACATGTATTTTCTTTTCTCTGTATACTATAATAGTAATACCCTTTTTCCCTTTTTTGGGGTTTTTGCTTTTCAAATTTGAATTTTGTGTTTTGTATTTCTATGTGGTATTAGGTTTAAGACTCTCTGATTTCATCTTTTGGGGATTATATTATATTACTACTGTATTGGATTTTGAGTCGAATGGAAATTGGGTTGTGTGTTTATTGAAATTATTGTTCAGGCAATTTGCTCATTTGGTTGCCTCGGGAATACATATTTGGCCTCTTGGTTGTGGATTAATTATGATTATTTGATTTAAAAAAAATTGTATCTTTTGAAATAGTAAATTCAAACTAATAATCTGCTTCAGTGGCTTTTCGATACCATACTGGTTTAATTCAATTCAAATTGTTGTTTTTAAAATTGCTGGCACATTTTTATTTTATTAATCGTAGTAAAGTCCAACGCTTAATAGACACTCTTATGCCTGTCAATGCTATAAGCACACACTAATTACACTTAGCCACTCACCTTCTTAAAGAAGTAAACATTGTTTGCTTGGTCCAACGTTTGTATAGCGATTTCATATTTTTCATCTACTAATTACTTACAGGGAGAGATGATACTTTGCCAATTTGAATTGTTGGGTCATTTAGTAGTATTTTTTTTTTTTTGGATTAATCCTAAGAGCCATTAAATTAGTTCCTAAAGTTTGATCCATGCTTTTTCTAAGTTGTTGATCCCATATCTGGATCAATAATCATTTCTAAATGCTTTTGAATTTTTCTACCTATGGCTTTTTCTACCAATGGATTTTTCTTTTCTTGATGCTTGTAAAATACCCCTTAAGTCGGTATAATCTCAAAGTCCAAATTCATTTGTAGACCTCTGTGATGTGTCCTGCACTTCTATACATGGTTGTTTCCCTCAATTGTAAGTCTCCTTTGCAACTTTTCAGATGTTCCCCTAGCACTATCAGTTGTTCACGTTTGTAGAACAAATGAGGTGTAAGTCAATGGTGAATGCAGTAGTCAGACTCTGTCATTTTTTGATTATAAGAAATGGCTGCTACGGATTATTTAGAAAACTGGATTTAGTCAGGGGTCTGTTAGAAAACTGGATTCGCTGTTGCAATTGAAACCCATTGTTGATTGAGTTCCGCTCATCGCTGCCATTGAAGATCGACACCTACCCTCCTGGCTGCACCCATCCCTCTTTGCTCGGCTCCACATCGTTGCTTCAATTCAAACCCATCGTTGCTTCAATTCAAACCCATCCCTCTTTGTTTATGGGTCATTTACATTGGGCTCCATAGTAAAACCCACAAAACTGATGACAACGTTGAGATTGTTAGGAGTGCGCACAGAACTGAATGAACACATTTAAGGTTAATTGTGAAATTGATTTTTGATTACTGTTCCTGAACTGAATGAACAATGCTCTGCATTTTGTGGATGTATGTAGATAATTGATTTTTTATTTTTGATTTTTTATTTTTGATTACTGAACTGAATGAACGCAACTACTGTTTGAACAACAACATGAATTGTGATTACTGTTCCTGAAAATTAGATTGGAATTGGAATAAGCTTTTCATCAAACAATGCTCTGCATTTTGTGGATGTATGTAGATAATTACAATTTCATTGTGAAATTGATTTTTGATTACTGTTCCTGAACTGAATGAACAATGCTCTGCATTTTGTGGATGTATGTAGGTAATTGATTTTTTATTTTTGATTTTTGATTACTGAACTGAATGAACACAACTACTGTTTGAACAACAACATGAATTGTGATTACTGTTCCTGAAAATTAGATTGGAATTGAAATCAGCTTTTCATCAAACAATGCTCTGCATTTTGTGGATGTATGTAGATAATTACAATTTTTTTCGTTTATCATTTTGGAAAGAAAATTAAATTTTTACGTATTTACTAATTTACGTAATTTTATATAAAATTACATATAAATGTATTACACAAAGAAATATTTCCTCCTTTTGAATTGTAGGGTGCTTGGAACCATGCTAAAAGTCATAATGTTTTTAAAATTTTATTAAATTATATCAAAAAAATTAATTTTTAGCCGGTCATGCGGACACAAATTTAATTTAAAAATTCCAAAAAAGGAAATTATTAAGAAATTCAATTGCTTTGAATTTTTTTATTTTTTTTGGGGCCTTTCTAGACTTCTTTTCAAACTTTTTTTTAAAAAAAATTATTTTTTCAATCCATCTAATCCAGTAAAATTCAAAATCCTAAAGCTTATTTACATTTTTCTTTAAATTCAGTAACGATGCAAAATAAGTCCAAAAAAAAGAAAAAGAAAAAAATCTTATAAAATGCTAAAGACAGCCATGAGGCTGTAAATAGTGTTGACGTGTGTAAAACTTGAATGTACCATGGCTTTGCTCTTCTTCTGCTCTATCCTGTTCACTGGTCCTAATTTCCCTTTTCATTGGAGGCCGTAACGACGACGATGACCCTACTCTTCTTCCAAGATTTATAGAGTGTGTGCTATTATTAGAGGAGAGAGAGAGAGAGAGATTGATATTTA